CCCCCCAGCAGCCCCTCCTCGCCCCCCAGCAGCCCCTCCTCGCCCCCCAGCGCGCGGCTCAGCGCTCCCGCCGTACCCCCAAGGCCGCCGCTGCTGCCGCTGCTGCCCCCCGATTCGGGCCCCGCCGCCGCCATCTTGCCGCCTCCCGCGCCCGCCGTCGCCTCGCGCGAGGCCACGCCCCCTCGGCACCACCCACGGGGGGGGGGGGGGGAGGGGAGGCGCCCCCGCGCGGCCGCGACCACTCGGGATGCGCGGGTGGAAGGGGGGGCGGGATCGCTCAGAGCGCATGCGCGGGATGCGTGCCACGTGACGAGCGGAGGGGAAGTCTTTCAGGGCGCGCGAGGCGCGAGTCACGTGACGCGCCGAGGGCGACCAATAGAAATCATCGGAGCCTTCCGCACCTCCGGCCCACAAGGGGGCACTACGTCGCTCGCTCCTCCCGCGGCAGGACGACGAGTCGAGCGCCGATGGCGGCGGCGGCGCCGCGATGAGTTTGGCTGAAGGCCGCGCCCCGCGGCGCACGGCCGGGAACCGCCTGTCGGGGCTGCTGGAGGCCGAGGAGGAGGACGAGTTCTACCAGACCACGTATGGCGGCTTCACTGAGGTGTGCGTCCAGGGAGGGGCTTTATGGGAGGGTCGGAGGGACTCTGGGGCGCGCTGAGGGGAGGCGCGGGACCTTAGAGGGGGGTTGGGAGGGGACCCGGGGCGCCAAGGGGTCGGGGGGTCGTGAGGGGCTCGGGGGCACTTGGGGGAGTCCTGAAGAGAAGAAAGGGGCTTTATGGGATTGTGGGGGGGAGGTGAAGGGTTTTAGGGGGTGTGAGGGGAGCTGAGAGGGTTTGAATGAAGGCTGGAGGAGGGTCTGAGGGGGATCGGGGCCTTTAGGAACCTGGGTGGACCCTGAGGGGATTCGTGAGGGAAACTGAGGGGGGTCCTGAAGGGATTGGAGGCACTGAGGGGGTCAGAATAGGGCAGGGGTGGCATTAGAGAGCCCTTGAGGGGAACTGCAGGGGCAGCTGTCAGGGGTTTCCCCATTGGGGTGGTGGTGGAGCACAGCCCTCAGTGTGACGCTGCCCTTCCACCCCTCAGGAGTCGGGTGATGACGAGTACCGGGGCGACCAGTCGGACAGCGACGACGAGGTGGACTCAGACTTCGACATCGATGAGGGCGAGGAGCCAACGAGCGACCAGGATGAGAGCGAGCCCAAGCGGCGCCGCCGCGTTGTCACCAAGGCCTACAGAGTGAGGGGACAGCTGGGTGTGGGGCTCGGGTCCCCCTGAGTGTCCTCTGACCCGCTGGGAGGGGGTACAGGTGTCCCCAAAAGGATGGGATAATTGCCAACCTGCTAATTGCTAACAGTGGGGAGGAGGTGTCCCTTTGGGGCCTTTTCACAGCGGCAGCCCCATGCAGTTTCTCCCTCCTGCCCAACCCTTAGGAGCCCATCAAGAGCCTTCGACCCAAGAAGGCCGACACCCCCAGCAGCGGCTCCCAGAAGGCCCGAGAGGTGAAATCAGCCCCCCTGGAGCTCCAGGATGAAGTGGGAGACAGTGAGTGGAGGCAGGCTGGGACGCGCTGGCTTCCCCGGGCTGGAGCTGGGCACCCCACTGCCCCGGGAGCTGTGCTGGCCCCACCTGAGCCCCGTCCTCTGCTGCAGGCCGGAAGCACATGCGGCAGTCAACGACAGAGCACACGCGGCAGACCTTCCTGCGCATCCAGGAGCGCCAGGTGCAGTCCAAGCGCAAGAAGGGCGGCCCCAACTACGACCGCCCGCTGACGCAGGAGGAGCTGCTGGAGGAGGCCAAGATCACAGAGGAGATCAACCTCCGCTCGCTGGGTGAGAAGAGAGTGGGGTGGGGGATGGGAGCGCAGGCGCTGGGGGGTGCTGACCCCCCCCGGGCTCATCTCTGCTTTCCCAGAGAACTACGAACGCCTGGAGGCCGACAAGAAGAAGCAGGTGCAGAAGAAGAGGAAGTGCGTCGGGCCCGTCATCCGGTACTGGTCCGTCACCATGCCCCTCATCACAGAGCTGGGCAAGGAGGAGAACGTGGACGTGGAGGGGTAATTTGGGGCACTGGATGGGATCCCGCTGGTTTCCCCCACCGCTCCCATCCCCAACCCTGAGGCTGAGTAGAGCTGCGGGTTTGGGCTGGCACTGCCCACAGCCCCACATTCTGGTCCTGCGGGGCTCCGTGGGTTCCCCCAGCGCCATGCATCCCTCAGGGCTGACTTCATCTCTTCCAGGTTGGACCAAGACCCTCAGCAGGCAGATGCTGCCGCAGCCCCGGCCTGCAGTGGGAAATGCTCCCGCACCTTCGTCTCCTTCACCGACGACGAAACCTTCGAGCGTTTCTTCCCCAAAGCGAAGGCGCCGCGGCTGCCGGTGCGGGAGATCTGCCCGGTCACCCACAAACCGGCCGTGTACCGCGACCCCATCACAGACATCCCCTACTCCAACATCCGCGCCTTCAAAATCATCCGCGAGGCCTACAAGAAGTACATCACGGCCCACGGGCTGCCCAGCGCCGCCGCCGCCTCCGCAGCTTTGGGGGCTGCTCCTCCCGGCCCCGATCCCGGCCTCCGCCCCACGCGCCAGAAAATCATCATCAAGCAGAGCGTGCCCACGGCCTGAGCCTCCCGTGGGGCGGCGACGGATCCTCGCTCGATTTATCTGCTTCCTACTGTTGGTGTTTTGTTGTTTGGGGGTTTTTAATTAAAAGGAAAGAACTGGCAGCGAGGGCTGTGCAGGTGAAGGTGTGCAGTACGGGGCGCAGGTTGCGCCCTCAGCGCTGGCGGATCCCATGGGATGAAACAAGGCCTTGATTTCAGGGAGAGCCCACGGTGCCTCTCGCGTGCAGCTGAGCCCCGGGGAGCTTTTCAGTGTGGGGCTGGAGGCCAGCAGAGCAGGCAGGTGGTCTCAGCCCCAGAGGGGACACAGGGCAGCTCCAGGAGCCCAGTGGCAGAGGTTCCCCCCGTGCCACCAACCCCAAACCTGCCCCCGATGGGGCGGAGGGACGCAGCAGTGAGCCCCGATGCCCGGGGGGGGCTCCTGGCGGCGGGTGCCGGGGTGGAGCCGCGCGGGGCGCTGGCAGGGCTCGATAACAGCGGGTTATGTGATCTCGCCCCTCCCCACTGCCGGCTCGCAGAATAAAACGCTGATCTCATGCCCTGCGCGGCCGGAGCCCTTGGCTCAGCACCGGGTGCAGCCCAGGCAGGCTCCACAGCCCCGGCCGACGGCCAGGTAGGGCCTGGGGGGGGATGGGGGTCGGGGTGCCCCACTAAGGACACCACCTTGGGGGGGTCGCAGGGTCCCGCTGGGGGTCCCCGTGCCGAGCGGCGCCATCGGGTTTCTCCTGCGGCTGTCAGCTCGGGTCGCTGCTGGAGTTGCTGCGGTGTCCCCCTGAGTGCCCCCTTCCCATCCTCAGAGCTGCGGGTTGGGGGGCAAATCCCCATCCCTTGGGGGTCCCTCGGGGGGCACAGGGCTCTGTGTCCTGAGGGTGCTTCTGTGGCTCCTCCGCGGGTGGGGGGGGGGGGGGGGGGGGGGGTTATGGAGGGCTGTGGGGCCGTGGGGAGCAGCGCTGAGCTGTGACTTGCTTTCCCCAAAAGCACCACAGCGAGGCCCGAGTCCGACCCGCACCCAGGGGTGCCCCACAGCACCCAGCCGACAGGACCCCCCTCAGCCCCCCAGTAACCCCCACGGCTCCGCTGTGGCACACTGAGGGCTGGAGGTATCAGCGTTGTGTGCCCCCCCACCCCCCAGATCCCGCAGCCATGACTTCCTACCGGCAAGAGCTGGAGAAATACAGGGACATCGACGAGGACAAGATCCTACAGGAGCTGTCAGCCGAGGAGCTGGAGCAGCTGGACACTGAGCTGCTGGAGATGGACCCCGAGGTGCGGCCGGGGGTCGGCACAGCGGGGGGGGGGGGGGGGGGGAGGTCGGGCAGGCAGGGCAGCGGTGGCACCCATGGGTGTCCCCTGGTGCTTCCCCAGAATGTGCTGCTGCCGGCGGGGCTGCGGCAGCGGGATCAGACACACAAGAGCCCCACGGGGCCGCTGGACCGCGAGGCGCTGCTGCAGCACCTGGAGAAGCAGGCGCTGGAGGCCAAGGAGCGTGAGGACCTGGTGCCATTCACTGGGGAGAAGAAAGGTGGGGGGACGTCGTGGGGGGACGTCGTGGGGGGACGTCGTGGGGGG